GCTTTTGACCCTTTGGCTTGCATTGACCATGCCTTGGTCTAGCCCATCTGGATTGGTTGCCGCGGACCTCATTCTCATTTCCCTCAGCGAATACTGCATTCTGGGCTTCATACATCTAACTTGACACCCATCACCATTACAGAGCATTGCAGTGTCCAACATCCATTGTAAGTCTTCAAATTTTTTGACTTTTTTTCTGGGATCTGCCTCCACCATTTTTGATGGAAAGCCAAAAGCTCCTAGGCAGAAGCTTACCTGTGCAAACCCTTGCAGTGTGGGGCTTATTTATTGTCTAAGAGCATCAGTTGATTGCTCTCCGTCAATGAGTGTAGTCCAGTATCGGCTCAGATAGCTTTTGGTTCTTGGTTGAATGTAATGGAGGAAGGGAATGGTGGCTCTGTGGATCCCATGGCAGAGGTCATATTTTCCTAAAATGTTTTGAGTACTTACAGTAGGGGGATCCCAAGGCACTGCTTGCACCATCACTACTACATTGTAGTGATTAGGATACTTGGAATGTTCCTTTAAATTAATAAACATGCTGATTCGTTAATACTGTAGACTTGTGGCTGCCAAATTATGAGAGAAAGAGGCCATTCTTACCATCATCAATTAAAAGACAGGCATTCAAACATATGTTTGGGACAAGTTTAAAAATAAAAAGTAATGCTTTCTGTAATAGAATATGGCTTCAGTGTCTAAAAGTCAGTAGATGGCACCACAGATTTTTGTTTGTGTAGATCAACATCTGTTTTGAACATGAAAAATATGGATGCATATTAAACTGATATGGAAGCATAAAGCTGGCCCTCGTTTTTAATACATAAAGCGATAATGCATAAACTATAATTTAACAATCTTGTGTGATGGTACAGTTCTTCCACAAGTACTTTACAGAAAAAAAAGCTGTAAACTCACCAAAAATCATAGCAGAATTGGAAATGTATAGCTGTCAATTTTACAAAAGGGATCACAAGGACAATACCAATAGCTTAAGCAATGGGAGACCATCCCCAGCTCACAAGGGTTGACAAATGACCTGGCCCAAGCCTCTGGTATGTGCTGCAGATGATAACTTAAGCATATGCGAAGCAGAACCTGACCCTGAAAAGAAAGCTGTGAAAAAGTTTTACTTGGAGCTCAAGTCCACAAAGTTTACCTAGCCCCTGTGAGGTAGGCTGCAGCCTTAATGTTAAGGCACACTACCTCTGCAGGGGCATCACACTTAAAGGGACTCTCCCGTACCAGGAAAACAAACCATTTACCTGGCACTGCAGGTCCCCTCTCCCTCCCACCCCCGGTTGCTGAAGGGGTGAAAACCCCTTCAGTCACTTACCAGAGGCAGCGACATGTCCCACGTCGCTGCTTCTTCCGCCGCCGCTCCTCCCCTTCATTACGTCAGGCAGTAGGGGAAACTGATCCCGCCCACCAGCTGGGGAGACCTAATGCAAATGCGCGGCAATGCCACACATGCACATTAGACCTCTCCCTAGGAAAGCAGTGAAAATGCTTTCCTATGGGGATTTTAGCGACGCTGGAGGCCTCACACAGTGTGAGGACGTCCAGCGACGCTATAGCACAGAAAACCTGTGCTATGGACCAGGAAGTGCCCTCTAGTGGACAGCCACTAGGGGAGGACTTAAACCTGCAAGGTAATTATTGCAGTTTATGAAAACTGCAATAATTACAGTTGCAGGGTTAAGGGTAGTGGAAGTTTGGACCCAGACCACTCCAATGAGCAGAAGTGGTCTGGGTGCCTGGAGTGTCCTTTTAAGGAGTTTTATGCAGTCTGGAGTCTCCCCGGACAAGACTTTGAATGCCTCAATGAGGACCACAGCGATTTAGAAACAGAAAGGTGTACAATACAGGCAGCCGGAAGAAACCGGGTCAAACTACTACAGTCAAAGGATATCCAACTTTTTGTCCCTAGGATGCTTAGAAGAGATGCACTTGAAGACATTGTGTCCTTAAGAGTAGAGCATATGTACTAGCTGCTTAGTGAGATTCTTTGCACGCTTAAGGCCCCTGCTGAGCAGTTTCCTTTGCCTGAGGAGGATGGCACTCTCAGGAACACTGTACCAAGGGTGATGATGCCATTTCATTACTTATCCAAAAAGACTGCTATTCCCCTAGAGCAGGAATAGACAACTGTCAGCACAAAAAATGTGGTGGAGTACATATCCCTTAATGCTCTTACAGCCATACTGTCAAAGCATCAGGGGGAGATGTAATCCACATCATCTGGTTGAGTAACACTGCCCTAGATACCATAGTGCAGATTGTAAAGGAATACTCTTGCACCCCAACAGTGTTTGCTTAAAAGGGACAGTTAGAGCCCCAATAGAGGTTTAATGCATCTGCTTTTGGCCTTATTAATATGCAGCACCACAAGCTTGCCTTCTTAGCCCACTTTCCAGAAAAAGACTTGCTTAGCTAATGCATGCACACAGCTCAGACACTGACAGTACTATCTGATCTGAAGTACAACCTCTCATCCCCCAATAGGTTGGGGTAAAATATAAAATTTCAACTGTTTTGGTACCTGCACCTTTCATGAAGTGGTTTGGGACCCCATTTAACCCCTTAAGGACACATGACATGTCATTCCAGAAGTTTAGTCCTTAAGGGGTTAAAAAAAAAATTTAAAAAAATCATTTTTGTTTCTTGGACTCTATGTGAGTCAGTGTCACGGAATGTGTGGCTAGGTTTACATAAACAGAAACAAAAGTGATGTAACAGCTAGATAGATAATTAAGCAGTGGGACTGTAGGGTCATATTCTATACACTTAATTAAGCTTAAATTGTTCTGATGCTTAGAGAGTGCTGAAAGACACCCTCTCTAATGAATGTATATATACACTATTAAGTCAAGTTAAGTTAGCAACCTAGGGTACCAGAACATTTCCAAATATAATGGGAACAGTAATTCTGCTTGAAGAGAAAAAACAAACAAAAAAAAAAAAACACCCTTATCATGGTTAACTATTAAGCAAGAGCAGCCCTTATCACCTGTAATCTGAATGTTTATGTCCCAAACAAATCTGTAGCACCCTCTTTACCCATTTATCATACCACCAACCTATTTCTCAGAAATATCTAAAGCAGTCTCTTAATTTACTATACCTATATGTCACTAGGTTACCTCCTGCCCTTCAAGGGAAGTCTAGAGGCAGCAGTTGCAAGTTCCTTCCTGCTACCGTTGTTTCATGTGCCCTTAATTTCATTCCATAAATTGTATGCAGATATCTAAATGATATTTTATAAAGTAACCATTACTGGTTGACTTTAGTGTAATTTTGCCAAATAAATTTGGATATTTGTTTAACTGTCTCTAAGCCAACAAAGAAACCTTTGAACTTGCCTAAAGGGTAACTCCAACTAACATGACAACTTCAGTGATTCGAAGTGTCATTGTGGTAGGAGTCTGGATGAGCAGTGTTGCTGCTTTAAACACTGTGCAGAGTCATTTGCACTTTTGTGTTGGAGCTAGTTGCACTCCCAACACACGTGACAAACAGCCCAAAACGCTGTTCCTGACTGGTGTCATGGGGAAGCTTTGCTCAACACTACGTACCTCCCTGTCTGCAGTCCATGTTAGTCAATATTTTTTTCATTTTACCTGTTCCACAAATCTGTCTCTCCTTCTCCACTCCCTCTGCCCTTCCTTCGTCAACACAAATTCTGCACATGTGCTCTGAGCTGGCGAAAAGGTTAGACAGGTGTCACCCATTGCTGGATGTCAAGTAAGAAAAAAAAAAATATATATATATATATATAAATATAATATATATATTTTTGTAAATCCGTTCAGAGTGGGGACGGGAGGCCTAGCTGGTTATGTCCAAAAGGGGATTATCCGGTTTAAAAAAAAATCCCACCACATTAGTTGCAAGGGTTGGAGGAACCCTTTAAGAAGGGTCCTGATAATATAGTCAACATATTATAGTGCTTATTGTGTATGGTTTCATATTTGGCATGTTGAATGTAAGGACACAGCAAAAGTATGTTTTCAATTTACACATCCCTTCTGCAGACTAATTAACCCAACTTATTATTTACAGATACTTTTTGGTCATAAGGGTCTGGGGTAATGTAACAAAAACACAAAGTTACTGAATGTGCAAGCAAGCAGCTCCCTTATCCCCATGGACTTCAAAAAGTTAGTATAAATAAGCTTTAAGAAGTGAGACTAACCAAACCAGGCATGGAGGAAGGCAGGAAACACCTTATTCTACCATATGCAGCCATTCTAGTTAGTATATCACCCCCAAATAGTCCACTAATGGTTATATATTTATTTTGCAGAAGCCTGTTGGAAGGGGGCAATTATTTTGAAGTTGTCAGCAGTGTGCTCAATAGAAATACATACCAGTAGGAAGAAAAGATAATACCATTCATAAGTTTCCATTCAGTCGGTACCAAGTCCCCTGCATGATACAAAAGAGAGCCAGAAGAGACTGTCCAGATCTTCTAGGAAATCTATTGAGACTGGCATGGTGCCAAGTGACCTAGTATTATCTCTATCCATTAAGATATAGCAGCCATCACATTGGATTTAGGGCAATATCCAAGCGTGGTATATCAGATAATTTGTGTAATTGACAAGCTTAAACTTTCAACCATTTCATAAATGTTATTTTACAATCATACTCCCTTTGCAGCATTCAATTTTACATGAGGCTATGTGACAGGAACAGGTCAACGTAAGTTTAAAGTGACTGTTCTGTTTAGTAGAGAGTGGGAAATAAATTTTAGTTAAATTTAATTAACCTTAAGATGTAAAGATAGACAAAGACACCAGAATTTAAAAAAAGGCAAAGCCAAAAAAGTTGTCCATTCAGAAACAGAGAGCAAGCTTTTAACACTTAAAGGACAATGGTCACCTCAAAACTTTTTTAATGCAATAATCCTTTCATTGAGCCTTCACTAAATATAAATGTCTATATAAAAAAAAACTGTCATATGGAGCCATATACATGCACTCTGTACGGGGTGTAAAATAGAGAAGACCAGAGATACTATTGGTTTTCAAACACTGTTCAAAGATGCATGTATATGGCTGACAGATCCTGTTTTATACTAATACGGTATGGATGTTTTAGCTGTTAAATTGTTTTAAATGACGTGTACGTCATTTCCTTTCAAAACATGATGAATGGAATGTTATATTGAAAACTTTTGAGCTGACCGTTGTCCTAATTTAAAATAGGCAGAGAAAATACATGGAAACCCCCTCCCCCCCCCAAAAAAAATACCCATCAGTAGTCTTTCCATTTGAAGAAAGATGTATTCTTTAACTCCCCATTCCAGAAAAAAACCCACAATAGCATTGAGGCACTTTGACCAAAATCAGCAATGCCATACTTAAGCTAAACTAAGCACATAACATATGACCCGTGAAGAAAGTTCGAACTTAACATGGAACCTAATATTGGAAAAAAAAATAAAATAAAATAAACTCTATTGGGGGTCTGATAGACTTTGAAATGTCTAGATTACCAGAGCATATAAAAGAGCTGATGTACTGGAACAAAGATTTTCACCATGTCTGAAGTTATTTTCCCAGTATCCAGAACAGCATCTAACATGCAAAACACTGTTACATTTTATTTTCCAGTAAAGATAGAAGATTTTAGAAAACTATAGCTTCATTGCAATTTGTTTTGAATAAAAAAACATTCAGTGAGGCTAGCTTTGACTGGGGTGAGACAAACAAAGCACAATCATAAAAACCACAAACACACACTCATACTAAATTTGAAAACCTGGAATTTAAATATTTGAAGAAAGAAGTCACATCTAAAAGCGAGTTAATTTACACCCCCACCTCTCACTGTTAGAGTATAAAATATTCAACAGTTTCAACTGCAACGTAGAACTGTATAATCTGTATAAAAAGTTGGAGGAAAGGGACTGAATATTCAAACGGTATCTACAACATGTTACTTATTCATTACTACAAAATATATGGTAAAACAATGTTGTTTGAATATGAAAAGGTTTGTTAATAAATTATAGGGCGTGATACAGAGTATCATTCTGAAAAGGACAAGTCCTGTTGAAAACCACTGGGTCCATCTTGTCAGTCACTGCCTTGCTGATTATACAGTCGATAAGGTGAATCCATTTTCCAGCCATGTGTCTAATGCAGATGTGGGGTTGGTCTGCCCACATCCCGGAAGAAAGGATGTGTCAAGGCAACCTTAGCAGAGATCCGCTTATTGGAGTCATACTGGAGCATTTGCTGGAAAGAATCAAACATACAGTGAATACACCAATCATGTGAGACAGCAAGAATAACTATTTATTGCTATTTCATGGTTAAAATAAATGAATTAATTCACTATTATGATTGTAGAGGTTTATGCATCTCTGGAGTAGTATTCCCCTTAAGCATTTTTTTTGTTGGTATGAACGTGTTGACTGACTTCAAGAGGTTTTTCTTGCTGTTACCAGATGGAGGCTATGGTTCAGGTAAGTAGAAATGTAACTTTACAGAAAATCTTTAACCACACTAAACAAGTTTGTGTTGGCTGGATAATTTGAAGTACAGTAACTGCTCAAAGGGTTTTTTTTTGTTTTGTTTTTTAAACACACTCTATCCCAACATGCTCCCATTGAAACTGCATTTGAAACTAGTTTATGCATTTATTAGCTAGTTGCCATCCACATTTGTAACTGTAAGAATTTGTGTTTTATTTCACTAGGTTAGCATTAAATAAAAAGTGTATATATTACACACACACACACACACACATATATATATATATATATATACACACACACACACACACACACACACGTCTAAAATTGTGCAAGTACTAACGTATACCCCGTTGTAACAAATGTTTGACAAGCATGAGGATTGCCGTTGGGGCACCCCATGCACGCTTGTTTTTTTTCCCCTCATATGCACTGCAAAAAAAATAAAATAAAAAGGCATTCTAATATAGGAACATTGCTTACATTTAGAATTTTCCACTAAATAAGAATTACTACAGTATGAAATTCCCTCCCCCCCACAAAAAAAAAAAAAATTAAAATTAAAAAACACTTGAATGGCAGCAGTTTAATACATTACTGCTTATATGACTTCGGTTTTGTCACATAAGCAGCATACAAAAAAAATAAAAATAATTTAAAATATACACACACACGAATAATTTGAGTGGTTATATCCAGTCTTAATGAGTTAGAAATATTACTTACTGCTAACAGGTTTCTACCATCTTCATCCAAAGGAGGAACCACCTTGCTGAAATCCTGTCGTGCCCATTTTGGAAAAGTGGTCTTATAATCAGGCATGGAAGTCACTCCTGGCCAAGACACTTCATCAGGGGTCCCCAGTGTACGGAAGATGCGAAACAGCTGGTCGATTTCAGAGTCCCCAGGGAAGAGGGCTCTTCTGGTAATCTGTAACGAACAAAAGCACTGTTAAATGAGAATGAGACAATGCACCTGGCAGAAAAGGGCTGTGTGGCCTCAAACGAAAACATAATATGAATCATTTGGAGTTGGAGGGAGGTAATGAACTCTGAAACGTAACACTGCTATAAAGGAATAACTGACATATTTCCATGAAAAGAACACTGAAGCACAAAAATTGCTACAGCCAATGTAAGTAGTCAAACTGTTTTAGAACCTTCCTTCTCTCCTCTTTGAAGCGCGGGAAGCTAATGTTAGGAGCTTGCTTTAACTCTAATGAGCCAAGACCTGTAGTGCCAGACCAGCTGATTGGCTGAGTGTAATTAGCGGACAGTCAGGGATCCAAGTTTTTCACTACTGGGCTTATTACAGGGAGAAAACAGCACCAAGCAAACTCCAGGTACTAGGTCAAACCATTCTAAAAAGTTTGACTATTTACACTGGGGGAAGTGTGCCAAGGTACCCTATAGTGGTTATGGAGCTCGGAGCCACAACAAAACCCCAACTAGTTATAAATAAATACAAATTGGATTTTGATATTCAATCAATGTTAACCTTTTATTAATCACACAGATATGGTCATGGTAAATTAGTATCTGCAGCTTAAGACAAACAATGTTAAAAAGGTCTTCGACTGCAAGCATACAAAGTCAAAATTATGGATTTAGAAGACCACTCAAGTTGGAATAAACTTAGGCCAAAAGGAATCCCTGAATCTGTATTGCCTGCAAGACTGGTGGAGTTTATCCATAGCTTCTTTAAGAAATTGGCTCCTGACATAACATTGTTAATGCACCCGCAATACAGGGTTCACCATCCTAAACACTTACCTGATTCTGTACCAAGAAATTTGCTACTCCGTGGCCATTATTTTCATATAAAAGAACTTCTACTGCGATCAAGCCGTACAAAGCAGAATATTTCCACCAAGTATATAAACATTCAAGTTTACCCAGACTTATCAGCTGTCAAACTAAAATCACACAGGACCTGCCAGCAAGTAACTGAAGTCTTATACACTCACCATATACAATATCGGTGGGCATAGCCCGGTAGCTTGATAGTGTTGCAGAATGGACATGTATTCACAATACAAGCTCCTTTAGTAATGGAAGCTATCACCAGTAAAGTCAAAGACACCCTCTGGTTCACCAGCACACATACAGCACGAGTGGAACACTGTACAGAAATAATATGACAGGACTGAAATCCTAACTCATTCTGATGCTATGAACACCTATCTCTCCGCAAATATGCCCCACACAATCTTTAAGATAGGATACTTGATGAATCCCAGCGGATGCTTATAATTTCAACCTATTTTACTTTAGTTTATAGGACTTATTTTGTTTATTTCCAGATGGCAACCTGGAACACACAACAGACCTGTTTGGTCTACGAGATTCTCGTTATTACTAGCAGTAATGTGCAGCCCTGATAACTCCAAGTTGATCGTCTGCCCAATTATAGCCATACTGCAAAAGGTAAATCTACCATAGTCAACATCTACACATCAAACACAAACCAGCAACATTTTTACACAAGTTCTTCACAAAGTTAGCAGAACTGCTGAGAGAAGTCACAGAAACGTGGCGATGTTAACCACATTCTCGACCCAAAGTTAGATACTTCACTGCCCCTGTCCTTCTCCATACATAAAGCTCTAAAATCTGAATGTAAATCCTTAAACAAACTTTTGATATACAGTACCAACTATGACATCTGGCGTACATTACACCTAGAGGAAAGATCCTATTCCTACTACTCTATTAACAATTCTTACTCCAGAATAGAGGTTTTCTTAATAACTAGTTCCCACATAGAATCAATGACAACTTGCAACATAGGGAATATCTTCTGGTCACACCACTCTCCACTTTTATTAACACTAAAAGATCAATCTTAGTTTTGAGGTTGCAACACCTGAAGACTTAATGACACCATTACAAAATAGGGAATTTGTCACAATCATTCCGAAAATCTAGAAGACTACTTTTCAGTCAATGATAACCCAGATGTAGCACAACCTTTCATATGGTTAACACACAAAATGGTTATGAGGAGACTTTTTATAAGCAGATCACGGTATCTGAAGAACCTGTCTCAGTCCCACCTACTGACCCTGTTGACACGAAGGGACATGTCTACAGCCTGTTTTCTTTCCCCATCAGACTCCTCGAAAGCAAGAATCAATTAAAAAAAAAAAAACATTTCCAACACAGTTTCAACACTACATATGTTAAAAACTAAAAAGTATGCACAAAAGTAATAAAGCTAGCAAGTAAACCTGAGAGAAATGCGTATACAGGTACTTATTTACCAACCGGGTTTCGTTCATACGACCTAGTCGTTAAGTGAGGAGTTAAGGGATTTCCTGCTCTGTTGTGCTTGTCTATGGTTTGAGAAAATTTCCCCGAACATAGACGAACGCACCAGAGCAGGGAATCCCTCTAATCTATGTTCAGGCAAATTTCCCCGAACATAGATTAGAGGTATTCGTTGCTCTGTTGCATTTGTCTATGTCCCCGAACATAGCAGATCAGAGAATCCTAACTCCCAAGACGGCTCGCACTTACCACCCTGCGAGAGAGCTGGTCGAAAGTGCGAACCATCGGAAAACAGGTCGGAAAACGAGGACCACCTGTACTAAAATACCATCTTTTATCAACACGTTTGGTCACAATCTAATTTTATAAGTTCTACCTCTAAAAAGGGGCAATGTTTTTTAGATTATACAATGTACAAACCAACCCACAATAGACAAAAATCTATGTTTTACTCTCAAAAGGCAACGTGACAAGATTCATAAGTTCATAGAGGACTTCTGCTCCTACTGACATGAAAGATGTAGATAAAATTATGCAATCACTACGTTCCAAAAAAGCCCCAGGACCTGATGTGTTCAAAAACATTACAAAGGGTTCTCCTCCTACAAATTGGTTAAAGAGACACTATACTCAACAGAACAACTACAGCTTAGTGCGAAAATGCATTGTTTACATCGCTCCACTGGCCACACATATGGTTACTAGAGGTGCTTCCTGGGGCAGAGCTGCAGTGTGTTCTCAGATGTCCAACCAATATCAAACATATCTCATACCCTGTAAGCAAGCCACAACGGTTGACTGATAAATTACATTAAATAAATACATTTAAAAAAAATCAACAATTTACAACTTATTATACAGCACCACAGATAACACTCATGTAATTACGCGTGGGAAAGGGATCTTGGTTTTAACATACCAGACGCCAACTGGAACACAATTCACTTATATGGGGGTACTCCTTTGTGTGCTTCACATGTAGAACTCACGCATTTACTAATAGTACCTAATACCCAAGAGGCTAATATATACTCCACAAAATCAGACAAAATGTGAGTTGCCTGCACAATATCTATTATATATAATAAATATAATATCCATTTTCCATATCCTAACTGCTGCCCCAATGCTGCTGTATGACACTGGGCATGGGCATTCAAAAAAACAAAACAACGATTTCTCAAAACGGAGCCTTTGAAACAGCCAGATCCCTTTTGGTAGGGGGTACCATTTGAAAAAATGCTTGGGATGTATGGCAAGGTGCACATAAATAAATGTAAAATAATGCAATAGCACCTCCTATATATATATTCCAGCATGCTGTAGTACAAAAGCTGTGCTTGCAACCTGTTCTGTAAATGTTACAGTGATACTGACCTGCTGTTTCCTCGATGAGGATCAGATACTCCTGTGTAAATAAATAAAATAAAAAAAATATATACACACACACACACACACAAAATGGAAAGAGGATATACCACAGAGTGGACCCTTACTATTGCAGGTATTCCTTGTGGGATTATTGCTGTAGATCTCATACTGCCTTATTCAGAAATAATATCAATTTGAGTGTGTGTGTGTGTGTGTGTTCTGGAAGCAACCTCACCATTTCTCCCTTTTTCCTATTTATCTTCCTCTCCTAGTTTTTCTTTCATTGAACTGTTCACAATTACCTTCATTTATCCTTAATTATGAAGCACCATTGCAAACACAATCCACAGTAATTTATAATCTATTGTTCTCATAATGCAAGATTATCTCTTCTGTATGTGTGCTTCTTTGGTTATATACAGAAGAAAAAAAAAAAAAGTCTCCTTCACCAACAGTCACACAAAATCACTGCTGATCACATGGTTGCCCTGCATCACTACAAGTGCAATAAAATGTGCATCATAGTTCGAATCCACCCTCAAGGTACACATTCTTTTAATCAGCAGTGCTTAAGCAGAATGAAATCCACACTAGCATCTCCACCCTTCTACCCTCAGGGAGAGGAAGCACTGTGAGTATAAACTTTGATTTCAGAAGCACATTGAAGTCATGCTACGTGCAGCAGACAAGGAACTTATTCTCCGTTATAGTCACACAGAGCAGGAGACGGATACCCACATTACTAATGAATAGGGCCTGCAGAATAACTGTAAATGTTTCCATATCCCCCAGGCAGGTTTTATTAAAAATAAAACCTTATCAGCAGATACTTTGGATGCTGCAATGTGGGCATCACACTGCTTCTTAGATAACTTAAAACCAGATACAAACTATAAAAAAGTTTTATCTGACCAAATATTACCTTGCAGCAAGAAGCACACCTCAAAAGGTTAGAATTCAGTTTTGTTAAGTGTATTAAGTAGACTTATTAGTTAGCGTGTTAGCCAGTTTTCATGCATAGCCATACTAAAATAACGTAATCTGTGATCTACTGGCTGGTCCCACTTATGATTTGTAGAAATGCTCCAAGTTCGGAAAATATTCTTGCCCCAGTATTTCACTACAAGTATCTGAATCTGATCAAAGTAGTTTAAGAAAAAAAATAAATAAACAAACACATCGTATATTTCTCCCACGTATATACACCTACTTTTTTTAATATTTATTTTCTGTGGGCCGAACAGCATTGGTGATCCCAGGATGACCACTTCTGCTCCCCCCCTTTTTTTCCTTCACTGGTGCCTTGAAGTCCTAGTGTTGTTATAGGACGGTATTGGATTTTAGTTGTGGCCTATTATGTGGTGGACCACATTAGTATCACATGACCAGAATATCTGGCTATGCATTTTTATTTTTTATTTTAAACCCATGAGAAGGGATATACAATGTGCATGCTTTCCACTTTAGTTTTGTCATATTTATTGCATTTTAAATTTATTTAAGCCCACACACCAACTAAACAATATCACATGAGTGAAATCATGGAGCTTAATATATGACTTTCTTCAGACAAGATGTGCAATTAGTTACATGCTATATTTATGGTGTGTCAAGTATTTTAGATTATTTTGTGTTTTAACACAAGTTTTTTAAGGATTTGCAGCTACATTATTTGTTCCATAACTGAAATGCACCTCAATTTTATTAAGGTGTATATGTGCACTGAAAAGGAAAGTTACTCATGGAAATAGTCTTGGGTAGGAGAGAGTCTCAAAAACAGATTGATGGGGATTAAATACTATGAAAGAATATAAAGTGCTCTCGTCTACATAAAAAAAAGAAAATAAATAAAAAAAAGTCAATACCAGTCAAATAAAATATTAGGAGGGATACTAAATATTCGTGAATGCACTATTAATGTTGGATCAAAAGCAAAAAACATGTGAGGAGGGCTGAACTTTATGGACGCAAATCTCTTTTCAGCTATGTAACTCTGGAACGCGTTGGTACTCATGCACTTTAAAAACAGTGGTCCCATCCACAGGTCTGACTTTCACTCTCCATTCACAAGTTCAACACCAAATATTAATACGGTAGTTGAGTCTGCTTCTGCCTGTTCTTAAAATACAAAAAAATTAGGTATTGCCAATCTTTTTTGAACTGCTATACACTAATTGTACATTGTATACCTAATCCTTGAATGCTTGTATTGTTATTCTATCTACCTCAATAAAAAAAATAAAAAAAAATAAAAAAAGTGGTCCCAAACATGGCCTTGTAAACCACCAACAGTCCAGGATTTATGTATTCCACTTTTTTATTCCAATGGAAATACTGACAAAACACGGACTGTTTGTGGGCCATGAGGACTGGGTTGGGAACCACTGATTTAAACCATTTACCATCTGAAGTGCACTTGGGACCATAAAAAGGACAAAGCCTTTTAACATTTACCTTTTTCTATGTGCAAACACAATTTAAAAATGTAAGCAGTGAATTTAAAGTGAAAGTTCCACTACCATTTCTGCAAAAATGCATCCAAGACTCCATATGTCCACAGAGGTGGAGTAGTATTTGCAGCCGAGAAGAATTTCAGGAGCCCGATACCAGAGTGTGACAACCTGGTAGAAACAGAAGAACAAAAAGGTTTACCATTTGCACTCTGAACACTTCTTCCTGCTTCGAATTAAAACCTATTCTTATAATGTAGAGCCAATTATTTGAGGTTTATATATCAGTTAAAAAATCTTCATATTAAAACGTCAAATAGAGTTTTATACTTACACAGAAACCCTAACTTACATTTATAGTTCATAAAAAGATACACACATATTTTGGGGTAGCATTGGATTGGACCATCATGAAGGAGGCCTTGCCTCCTCTATGACATTGCGGTAGGTGGAAAGAAAAAAAAATATATATATTTATAATTTTTTTTTTTTTTAATTATTATATTTCTTTATTATTATAAATACACATACAAACTTTCCCATAGAGAAGCAACAAATCAATGCGTTGCTGACTTACTCAATACAGTGAAAGTGCCCAATACGGCTGTTATACCCGACAGCCACTAGAGATGTACTTTTATCCAGCAATATAAACACTACAGTTTTAAAATAAACAATAATTGAGCCCCAAGTTAACCCCTTCCCGACTGCAGATGGAAATTTTCCGTCAACCCTGTCCTTCAGTTTAGGACCGTTGACGGAAAATTTCCGTCATTTACTAAAGTTAACCCCAGATCGACGTGATCGCGGGGTTAACGGTGCTCCTGTCTGCCTCTGTATTAGAGGATTATATAGCCTTGTAAAATACTCTAAAATGGGACATGGACACAGAGTAAAAATTCAAAATCTGAGAAAAACTGGAATGGCTGTGTCTCAAATGTGACCCTTCAATGTCCACATATACCTGGCAAAGGTACATACGGGGTTATTGCTGTACTCAGCAAAAAGGCAGAAAAAAAAATGCTTATTACCACTACACTTGGTACAAGCTAGCAGAAAAATGATCCCACGCTAAGGTTTAAAATATGCCTTTTGAAATACCCTGGGATGTGTTGTTTAAGAAATGGTAAGCCTTTATGGTGTAGTTGTAATATGTAGCCTGCTCAAGTGCTCCAAAGTGGGACACGGACGCCTCAAAACCCTCCATGAAAATTCACACTTAAATACCTTAACTTGTCACGTCTCTTTTACAGCAGTGTAACTTCACAAAATAGTGTCTAGTTCATACATTGGGCATATTGTTTTACTCAAGACTTAGCGGAGCATAATTTGGGGGGTTTGAACTTAGTGGCACATATGAAATGTACAAAATTCCCAGCAAAAATGTAATCCGTATGTAAAAAAATGCCCAAAATTATTTACCACATACTTTGGCATATATTGGTGAAAAAAAATGGGGGCATGTTAAGGCACAATGAGATACCCTGGAGTTTCTACTTTTACAAATGGTAGGCCTTTGTGGGTTTTTTTTTTTTGAACAGTCAAACTGCTATAATACCCCAAATTGAAGCATAGGCCCTTTTAAATCCGCCTCTCAAAATTCTACTGTAAATGTTGAAACGGACAGGTCAAAAAGCACACACCAACTTTACAATACACACATGAGAAGTTCTTTGTTATAAGTTTGTGTGCCAAAACCCCCAAAAACAAAATTTTACTCCAATATTTAGCAGAGATTGGCGGTGAAATGGCTACATAGAAAGTGTCAAAACATCCTTAGGACAATAGCCTATGATGTCTACTTTATATAAATATATACTTTTGTGTGGCAATTTTGTTTTCTTTTATGGCTATTAAGCTTACAAGACAAACATACCAAATTCTAAAATCGCTCCACATTAAAAGTTTATTTTACTCCTTGTGCTTTGTGACCTGTAACTACCATAAAAAACCTTAAAATCCCAGACACATTCTGTAAATCAGAACAACTAAATGAATTTATTTTTAATTACTTTCTTAAACCTGCACTAATTAGGCACACATTATTATTGCAAAAACTGTACAAAAAAACTCAAAATATAAAGTATGACGCAAAGAAGGGAGGACTACCTCCCACCGAAAACGCGCCACATCATAAATTTGATGCAAAACATATACAACAGAACCCTCCCACCACCAGTGGGCACATATATACACACCCACACACAGACTACAAAACGCAGAAGGGAAGATACCTACAAGCTTTGAAACACCACTTTTGACCATCCTAGATATCACTTACATAACTCCCCAAATAAAAGCAACAACCGCTTCCCCATTAGACCGAGGACAAGGGAACACACATCAACTCTGCACATAAATTAATGGGGACGACAGAACGCTAGGCATTAGCAGCGCAGGCTCCGAGCCCAAAGTATAACTAATAGATGGGGCAGGATCATAAACTGAGAACGGACACGAGCTTCGGAGATGGATGCTCTGTGCCCCCCGGAGGAGTACGGAATGAGGGGCAGGGAAAAGGTTAGGCTACCAAGCCAAAAGAACCAGGGGCTCAAATTACAGCTTTGATCCTTGAAATGGTCAATAACCTTAAAACGGTGCGGATAGTACTCTCAAACTGATATGTAGGATGTTACATCAAATTAAAACCCTTTCTGTCCTTGAAAAAAACAGTATATAATGTGTGTCGGTGCAATAAACGAGAGAGATGCAAATTGCAGTTGAACGCATACAGCAAGAAAATGCAAAAACATTTTGTGTCATTAATCGTAAGACAAGCTTCTGAAGCTGTGTCCTTAAGGGGTTAATGGAATGTCCATACAAATTGTTTACCCACAACAGCAAGAGAGCTGCAGTTCCCAAAATATAATTGAAGACAAACATTTTGTATGGCATGGTTACAAGGGCTACCCATTAACTCGAGGCTCAAGTACTGTCCTCTGTAATCCCCAACCGTGGGCTGCTGATTATTGTTGAAAGATGTGAGAGGGCAGGAACTCGTGCCTCACTCTACTCAATTCCTTGACTACATTGTGACCCTGGCCACAGCTTTATAAATCTAGTGTTGCATAGTCCCCATATCCTCTTGCAACAATAATAAAAAATCTCATGCCAAAGTGATGCGAAATACCACTGCAACTAGTGGAGGCTTGTTGTCCATGAGTTAGGGACACCTACTTCTCAGTTATGTTCTAGGACATGAGAATAGACCAGCTATATTTTCTGTATTATGTAGTAACAAATTGGTGCTAGGGTGATCATCATAGCACCTTTGAGTCTGCTGGTCACTTTTTTTGTACCAGGACTTAGTGACAGTGCCAAGGAATTTGGGATCCTCAGGTTTATTACAAATCTAGGAGAGCAGAAAGACGTGCGCTTAAATGTATCCCCACATTGTTCGAGTGTACCCTTTTATGAGCTGTAACTGAAAGTTAGGGTCTCACTGTACCCAGTGCAAGCATGAAACTCATGGGGAATCTGCATAAAATATAAATATATTTTTTTTATTCAAGTCATGCTTAAGTGTATTGCATCATCAAGCCGCAACAATCTAATCAACAGCAGCAATATAAAACACATCAAGAAAATATAATTTTGTCACAAACTAACCTCGTGAGTATAAGTTCTCACAGGCACACCAAACGCTCGTGCCAGTCCAAAATCTGCAAGCTTGATCGCGCCATCTTCATTAATAAGAAGGTTTTGTGGTTTGAGGTCCCGGTGTAGTACTCTGTGAGAGTGACAGAAAGCCAATCCTTGCAGCAGCTGGTGTAAGTAACTCTGAAGCAGGAGAATAAATCTTTGTCACTTATCAATATGTTATATAATTCATAACAGTGGATTATATATAGTTATAATGACATTAGGGGGCACCATGCATATATTATTGCATCTTTCATTGGGAGGGGAGCAGCATAGACCTTTCTTCCATGCCACATATTCCACCACCTGAGCCAGATAGTGTTGTGTTGGGTAAGAGCCACTATATCTATACCGGGGACAGAGATATTCTTTGGGAGAGTTGTTTGGAAACCAAGAATAAATGTAACCAGAGGAAAACATTAAGGCTATTAAAGCTCGGAAAACAATTTTAAATAGTAGATAATTAGAGCTGGAGGAAGTGTAACGTTACTCACTTTAACAAGGGCCAAGGGTATCCCGGTGATATTTGAGCCATCCATAAATTTTTTCAGGTCCTGGTTGAGAAACTCAAAGACGAGGTAAAGCTTGTTCTCTGTGTGAATTACATCAAGAAGCCTGAGATTGAGATAAATGTCAGACAGATTAACACAAAGAAAAAGGGAAGAAAATAAAAATGAAACAGCATTTGTTTGCACTACAGTCTATTTATCTGGTTACAATTACGTGTCTGTTAGTTCACCCATTGTACAGCACTACGGAATTTGCTGGCGCTATATTATATATTATAATAATAATAATAATAATAATAATAATAATAATAATAATAATAATAGGTAAAATATGCCTACACGCTTAAGGTATACTTAACACACACACACAAAAATCTAGACCACCACCACATGGAATAAAACCCAATATGTGTACATATCACATTTGTAGTTCTCATATAGTTCAACTGAAGAGAGGTAAAAGCTTAAAGGGACACTATAGTCACCAGAACAACTACAGCTTAATGTAGTTCTGGTGAGTATAATAGCTCCTTTCAATGCTTTCCTATGGGGATTTCGGTGATGCTGGAGTTCCTCACATAGCGTGAGGACGTCCAGCATCATAACACACTTTTCGTGAAGTGTCCTCTAGTGGCTGTCTTGTAGACAGCCACTAGAGGAGGACTTAACCCTGCAAGGTAAATACTGCAGTTTATGAAAACTGCAATAATTACACTTGCAGGGTTAAGGGAAGTGAGAGTTGGCACCCAGACCACACCAATGGGCAGAAGTGGTCTGGGTGCCTGGAGTGTCCCTTTAATGGGGAAAGAGACATTGGATGTCCTCATGCAGAGCGTGAGGACACCCAGTGTCAATTACCGGACCAAAATTACGTTAACAGCCACTGGAGGCAAACTTAGTGCTGCAATGTAAACATTGCAGTTTTTCTGGAACTGCAATCTTTTACATTGCAGCATTAAGTGCAATAGGGACACTGTACCCAGACCACTTCAGTGAGCTAGAGTGCCTATAGTGTTGTACACATCTTTGTGCTAGCTCTGTGTTGATTCCACTTACTTGACAATATTGGGATGGTTCAGTTCCTTGAGTAGAGAGATTTCCCGGATGGCTGTACTTGGAACCCCTTCTGTCTCTCTAGATATATATAAAAAATAAAATAAAAAAAAACACATTTGAATGAAGGAAGAGAGGGAAAATCCAAAAATTATGAATCACATATTAAAATACATTTAACACAATATATATTTATTTATATATATATATACACATACATACATACATACATACAGGGAGTGCAGAATTATTAGGCAAATTAGTATTTTGACCACATCATCCTCTTTATGCATGTTGTCTTACTCCAAGCTGTATAGGCTCGAAAGCCTACTACCAATTAAGCATATTAGGTGATGTGCATCTCTGTAATGAGAAGGGGTGTGGTCTAATGACATCAACACCCTATATCAGGTGTGCATAATTATTAGGCAACTTCCTTTCCTTTGGCAAAATGGGTCAAAAGAAGGACTGGACAGGCTCAGAAAAGTCAAAAATAGTGAGATATCTTGCAGAGGGATGCAGCACTCTTAAAATTGCAAAGCTTCTGAAGCGTGATCATCGAACAATCAAGCGTTTCATTCAAAATAGTCAACAGGGTCGCAAGAAGCGTGTGGAAAAACCAAGGCGCAAAATAACTGCCCATGAACTGAGAAAAGTCAAGCGTGCAGCTGCCACGATGCCACTTGCCACCAGTTTGGCCATATTTCAGAGCTGCAACATCACTGGAGTGCCCAAAAGCACAAGGTGTGCAATACTCAGAGACATGGCCAAGGTAAGAAAGGCTGAAAGACGACCACCACTGAACAAGACACACAAGCTGAAACGTCAAGACTGGGCCAAGAAATATCTCAAGACTGATTTTTCTAAAGTTTTATGGACTGATGAAATGAGAGTGAGTCTTGATGGGCCAGATGGATGGGCCCGTGGCTGGATTGGTAAAGGGCAGAGAGCTCCAGTCCGACTCAGACGCCAGCAAGGTGGAGGTGGAGTACTGGTTTGGGCTGGTATCATCAAAGATGAGCTTGTGGGGCCTTTTCGGGTTGAGGATGGAGTCAAGCTCAACTCCCAGTCCTACTGCCAGTTCCTGGAAGACACCTTCTTCAAGCAGTGGTACAGGAAGAAGTCTGCATCCTTCAAGAAAAACATGATTTTCATGCAGGACAATGCTCCATCACACGCGTCCAAGTACTCCACAGCGTGGCTGGCAAGAAAGGGTATAAAAGAAGAAAATCTAATGACATGGCCTCCTTGTTCACCTGATCTGAACCCCATTGAGAACCTGTGGTCCATCATCAAATGTGAGATTTACAAGGAGGGAAAACAGTACACCTCTCTGAACAGTGTCTGGGAGGCTGTGGTTGCTGCTGCACGCAATGTTGATGGTGAACAGATCAAAACACTGACAGAATCCATGGATGGCAGGCTTTTGAGTGTCCTTGCAAAGAAAGGTGGCTATATTGGTCACTGATTTGTTTTTGAATGTCAGAAATGTATATTTGTGAATGTTGAGATGTTATATTGGTTTCACTGGTAATAATAAATAATTGAAATGGGTATATATTTGTTTTTTGTTAAGTTGCCTAATAATTATGCACAGTAATAGTCACCTGCACACACAGATATCCCCCTAACATAGCTAAAACTAAAAACAAACTAAAAACTACTTCCAAAAATATTCAGCTTTGATATTAATGAGTTTTTTGGGTTCATTGAGAACATGGTTGTTGTTCAATAATAAAATTAATCCTCAAAAATACAACTTGCCTAATAATTCTGCACTCCCTCTGTGTGTGTGTGTGTGTGTGTGTGTGTGTGTGTGTGTGTGTGTGTGTGTGTGTGTGTGTGTGTATATACACACACACATATATATATATATACACACACACACACACACACCTCTATCTTTATTTTTTTACACACAAATCATTAAAACATTCATTCATTCTCATACACTATGCAGCTCTTGACTGATCATTTGCCAGAGAACCAACTGACTTAAAATTCATACAGACTTGATGATTCTCACTACACTATGTAGCACACGCAAACCTGCACTGCATCCATATTGCCCCAAACGAAGGAGCGAGGAAAAAGCATTTGACAGATGCTGGAAGGAAAACTTGTGAAAAAAGTAAGACACTGCACATCAAGTGAAAAACTAATTAAAAGTTCATGCCAAGTCCTCACAATATCAGCATAGAATTAAAAAGCAACATAAATGTTCATTAAAGCACCTCTGCCAAAGCAACTGCAGTGCTAGAAATATCTTCGGAGGCAACTCCAATCCACTTAATAACGAAAAGAGATCAAACAGTCATATTCCAAACGAGCAGGTTTTCAGAATATCACCAGTAACATTTCAGCCCAGTCTCTGGCTTTTCTCAAGAGAAAAGCCTACAATTGGAATAAAACATTATTGGTGTGATTCCAATAAATCACATCACACTTAACAGTTTGTTCAGGACTACTTGAATGCTTACTCTTTTCTTGTTATTATCGAATATAAATTTTGCAGATACTGTCATACCTGAGGCTCTTTCACACATGCACCGCCAACCTGATGCTCCATCTGCCAGGAGCCATCATCACTGTTGCACTCTCTCACATGAGTAGTCTCGAATTTGTTTTACAATACATTTTGATTGTCCTGGAATTTCAATGAAATTCCAACGTAGTCAACAACAGTATTCAATAATGATTTGTCTTCATGTAAAACTCAAGTGGCAGAGCCACTTTTAATAAAAAATGTTATGTTGCAATAATATGACCATGTTGAGGCAGATGTGCTGGATTTAAATGGTACCTGTAATTCCCCCTACAATCTATTCCAGGGCTTGACAAATTTGTTTGGAATCCAAGAGCCAGCTAAAAATGTTAGGAGACAGGTTTTTTTGTTGTTGTTTTTTTTAAAGGGACACTGAAGTCACCAGAACCACTACAGCTTCAATGTAAATGCTACATTTTCAAAGAAAAGGCAGGGTTTACATTGCTGCCTAAGACCTCTAGTGGCAGTCCTCTTCAGTGACAAAGCACCCCTAAGCAGAACGAATTACAGAAGACAGAAGGAGTTGTGGACGGTCCGTCAGTCTGTGGGGGGACCGAATGAGCATGCACGGCGACTGCCGGGATCGCATTAGGACATCTTCATAGAAAAGCATGAGGATGTCCAGCGTCATTTAGCAGACCAAAAGTCTGCTAAAGACTCGGAAGCGCCTATAGTGGCTGTCTGGTACATATCCACTAGAGATGGAGTTAATCCTGCAAGGTAATTATTGCAGTTTCTCAATAACTGCAATAATCGCAATTGCAGGATTAATGAGACAGGGGCACTGCATCCAGGCCGTTTAAATGAGAAAGTCATCTGAGTGCCTATAATGTCCCTTTAACATTTTATTTACCTTCCGTTGTGTGCTAAATGTCACAGTGTCATCATTATGAAACAGCACTACGTATGGGTATAGCTCCTCCCCTTCTCAATTGGACAGGAACCACTCCTAAATAAAAGAGACTCCCCCCTATACACCCTTTTTCCTGTCCACTTCTTGGACAGAGGAGGTTGCATCTCCTAAAATTTTTCTTTTGTGACTTATTCGGGTTTAATTGTACCCCTGGCCCATGGTGAGTTCAGCCTCTCTCCCCATGGAAGCCTTAGGACACGGCGCCTCACCAAGGGCGACCCCCGGAGGATTCCCCCTTTAGCGACCGGGAAGCTATGCTGCAGTAACCCTATAGGTAGCAGCTGGATGTGCCAGACCCAGGGAGGTGGTAATTCCCACAGAAGGGTTCACCTACTTGCTGCAAAAAATTTGGCCTTCTTGGCTTTCCCAATAAAGATGGCCTGCCCTATCCTCAGGATGTAAGTGAAATTTTAAAGACACATTTCAGACTTCTGACTGCAGGGTTTTCAGTTCTGCCCACAGATCCTCATACAAGAAAAAGAACGACCCCCTTAGGTGAAGCTTGTGACGACAAGGTGCTTCCTGGGAAAAGGCTCTGCTTAGCTTCTCTTAAAGCATCGGCAGGCCATACTGAACCAGATCCAGATATTCTTTCTTACATCCATCAAGCAGTTTCAGAGGGTCTTCGATAGTCTGAGAGGGCTAAGAAAAGACATGGATCTTTTAGCCCAGAGGAATATGCTGACTTAAGCACTGATGAATATGTACCCCCGGAATTTGAGCAAGACGAGTTGTCATCTCAAGATGAAGGATATGGGGCCTCTCCTGTCTTTATAGACAGTGTGAAAATAGAAGCTTTAATCAAGGCAGTTTGTGATACCTTGGAGCTTAATGATAAGAGCGAGGAGGAAACTGCTTCTAGTAAGCATTTTGCTGACCCGAGAAGGCGCAATCCTACTTTCCCATTGCATGAGACCATTGAGGACCTCATTAAGCAAGAATGGAAGGTGGCTGAAAAAAGAATCTCTATTCAGGGTCGTTTTTCTAAATTATACCCTTTTAAGGCTACGGACAGTAACCATTGGGACCTTGCCCCCAAAGTAGATGCAGCAATTGTCCGACTAGCCAAAAAGACCACCCTCCCATTGGTTGATGCCGGTACTTTAAGAGATCCAATGGATAAACGTATGGACTCAAATTTGTCCAAAGCCTATATAGCAAATATCTGGACGAATGTATCAAAAAGGCAGTAGAAGGACATAAGGCCTTTCTTCCTCAAGATAGACGTCCTAAAAGATCCTTTTCGCAGGACAGACGTTCCTTTCGGGACAAGGACTTTAGACAATACAGACCTGGTAGAGAGTTTTCCAGATTCCAATCCAGGAAAAGTGGACTTTCCTCTTCCAAAACCACCAGAGGACGTGGTGGCAATGGCACGCCTTCAAAGCAATTCTGATGGGACGCCAGTCCAGCCCTTGGGAGTGGGAGCAAGACTTCACTTCTACGAGGTCTGGGCTCCAGCAATACAGGACAAGTGGGTTTTAAAGACCCTAAAATCTGGCTACTACCTGGAATTCTCGACAAACCCTTATCCCCGGTTCATGTCTACAAGCATGCCTATGGAAACAGAGAAAGCAGTGGCCATTCGGTCTTTTGTTTCTTCCCTTTCACCAGAGGGAGTTATATGTCCTATTCCTGCAAAAGAAAGAGGATTGTGGGTTTATTCCAGACTTTTTCTCACTCCGAAAGCATCAGGGGAGTGGAGACCAATTTTGGACCTTCACGAATTAAACGAAAATCTGTATGTGAGAAAATTCAAGATGGAATCAGTAAGTTCCATTATAAAAGTCATCTCCCCAGGCGACTGGTTAATCTCCATAGACCTTCGAGACGCTTACTTTCACGTTCCTATTGCTCCACCACACCAGAAGTTCCTGAGATTTGCGATTCACCATCAGCATTTTCAGTTTCGAGCCCTTTCCTTTGGCCTGAGCACAGCTCCCAGGACTTTCTCAAAGATCCTGGTTGCCTTAATAGCATATATTCGTCTGGAAGGCATCTCAATATTCCATTATCTCAACGACATCTTGATTCTCTCACACAGCAGAGATATTCTCCTTCTTCATCGATTAATTCTTCAAAAATTTGGATGGTTGGTAAACCTCAAGAAGAATCAGCTTTCCCCCTCTCAAGTTATGATATACTTAGGGGCAAGATTCGACACAATCCAGTCACAATTCTCCCCATCCTTGGACAGGGGGCTTCGTATTCAAAGATCCTTCGTCTTCTGCCTCTGAACTCCATCCCGGCCCGGGAATTTATGAGCCTTCTGGGAAGTTTGTCCTCTACAATAGGCCTTACGAGATGGGCCCAGTGGCATATTAGGATTCCACAAGAAGGGTTTCTATCCCAGTTTGCGAACAAGGATCTGAATCAAGCAATCTCTCTATCATCAGAGATCAAGAAGAAACTGGCATGGTGGCTGATCACAACGGATGCATGCCAATCAGGTTGGGGAGCTCATTTGGGCCTCCTTCATGTTCAGGGGCAGTGGGAAAACAAACAGTATCCTCTATCCTCGAATGTTTTAGAGTTGCAAGCAGTCTTCCAGGCTCTTCTGCACTTTCCTTGTCTGAAACAAAGTTGGGTGAGAGTAAGGATAGACAATACCTCTGCAGTTGCTTACATCAATCATCAGGAGGGGTAAAAAGAGCAAACGCTTAATAAAAGTGTTGACCCCACTTATGTCCTGGTCAGAGAAGAATTTGAAGGGGATCAATGCAGTTTACCTTCCAGGAAAGAACAATCAAGTGGTGGATTTCTTAAGCCGAGTAACCCTGGATCCCACAGAATGGGAGTTAGCCCCTCTGGCATTCCAAAGCATAGTCCAGAAGTGGGGTTTTCCTCAGGTAGATCTGATGGCCACAGCGAAGAATCGCAAGGTGGAAAGGTTCTTCTCGCGTTACTTCGACCCTTTGGCGGAAGACTAGGATGCTCTCTGTTGCGAGTGGAAGTTCCATCTGGGGTATGTTTTTCCCCCAACTCCTCTGATTTTGCCCCTGCTAAGAAGGATCCTGCAGGAGCAAGCAACAATTCGCACAGTGATTCCCTTCTGGCCCAGGCGGCCTTGGTTTCCCCTGCTGCAAAAACTCTCTCAGGACATTCCTCTGAAATTCCCATCGTTTGGATCTGGTGCGCTGTTTATCTACATACCTGAACCAGACTTCAGACATAAGGAAGACATCTAGACTGTTCATTATTCCTTCAGGTTACAAGAAGGGCAAGCCGCTTCTTCATCTCATATTGGCTGATGGATCATCTCAGCCATTGGTCAGGTCTACTCAGCCTCCGGAGTTCCCTCAAGGCCTTAGAGCTCATTCTACCAGATCCTTGGCCGCTTCTTGGGCAGCTGCAGCCAACATTTCTGCGGATCGCATTTGTTCGGCAGCAACATGATCCTCCTTCAACACGTTTATCAATCACTATCAGTTGGATGTAGTGTGTTCATCTACCACAGAATTTGGTAGAAGTGTCCTCTCTGCTGCCTTATAGTTTATGGATCAATAAACCATATTTGCATGGATTTATGCATTGTGGTTATTATGCTCCCTCCCTTACTCCTTTCAGCTTGGGTATAACCCATACGTAGTGCTGCCATGGATATATCCAGGGAAAACAGAAAATTTATGCCATACTTACCGATATTTTCTTTTCCCGGATATATGCCATGGCAGCGCTGCGATCCCATCCTCTTCTGAAATCATGTGTTTTGTGGCTTTAAACTAAGACTGAGAGGGTAGTCTCTTTTATTTAGTTGGTATTCCTGTCCAATTGAGAAGGGGAGGAGCTATACCCATACATAGTGCTGCCATGGCATATATCCGGGGGAAAAAATATCAGTAAGTATGGCATAAATTTTCTGTTTTACTCCTACCTTGGTGTTGCCATACATCTTCAACTGGTGGCAACTTATTCACTACTGTGCTATGTACAAGAGTACAAAACGGGGTCTTTGGAGGTTATCACAAGACCTTCCACAGATAATAGTGTACAAGGGCAATAAAGTGCCAGCTGTTGTGCACTACAAGAGATGATACCTGATCCCATCGTCCGTTGCAGCCAAAGGCTGATGGGAAATAGCAATGCAAACTCCTTTTGCCAAAGATGAGTAATTACATGTAAGAGAGCAGTACCTACTTTGTCTCATGCCTATCTGTTAATTTGCATTGGAATTCAAAATTCCAACACATTCAAAAGACCCTTTTCATAAAATACATATATATATATATATATATATATATATATATTTATTAAATTCTTTTACTAACAGTTTAAAAGTGCTAGATGCTGCATGAAGCATGTAATAGTACTGGATAAAAGGAGAAATCTAATCATTTAGTTTTTTGAGTGCCTTATGTTCCCCCATTTTTACACGAACCTTCATATTAACAGTGTTATTACCACTTACATGCAAAAATATAGTTTTGAGAGCATTGTTTACTTTGTGGCACTCACAGTGTTAATAACTGAATGCAATCTAAAGTGTCCAGTATTTTCCACCTCAGCCCCAGAAGGTGGCCATGAAGGCTTCAGGTTACATTATGGACAGCCAGCTGTGCTGACTATTAACTCTAACTCCTGAAACAAACCCTGTGTCTTGGAGCACATTGCTGCCATTACCCAGCGTCACCCACAGTATATAGAGGTTAAACCCCAGGTGGGATAGTAAGCCCTATGCGAGGTGGTTATGGTGTCATGGTGGTCGTTTCCTTACGTGTCCAGGCGGATCTTTTTCAGGGCGACCACCTCCCCAGTCTCCCTGTTGCGGGCTTTGTACACCACGCCATAGGTGCCCTCCCCGATCTTCTCCACCTTCTGGAAGTTATCCATGGCGGGTGGGATGGAGAGCTGGGGGTCCTGGACTCCGGCCCGGGATACTTCAAAGCACAGTTAAACGGTGGGCACTCACTTCCGGGGTCCCTACAATGCAACCTCCTGAGAATTTCCCGCCACCGCTTGGCCACACCCCCTCAACTTCTGATTGGTTGGAAGTTGCCCTTTGTGATGTCAAGTTACTGAATCGTTTTATGTCCCAGTAGCAAATGGCAGTGTGTGTGAGAGAGGGACAGGGAGTGAGTGAGCTCACAGACAGTACTCTCATACAGAGCTCTCAGTACTCAGACAGAGCTCACAATACTCAGACAGAGCTCACAGACAGAGGTCACAGACAGAGCTCCCATTACTCATACAGAGCTCTCAGACAGAGCTCCCATTATTTATACAGAGCTCCCAGAGAGAGCTCACAGTACTCATACAGAGCTCCCATTACTCAGACAGAGCTCACAGTACTCAGACAGAGCTCTCAGTACTCATACAGAGCTCACAGACAGAGGTCACAGACAGAGCTCCCATTACTCATACAGAGCTCTCAGACAGAGCTCCGATTATTTATACAGAGCTCCCAGACAGAGCTCACAGTACTCATACAGAGCTGAGCTCCCATTACTCAGACAGAGCTCACAGTACTCATACATAGCTCCCATTACTCAGACAGAGATCACAGTACTCATACAGAGCTCCCATTACTCAGACAGAGATCACAGTACTCATACAGAGCTCCCATTACTCAGACAGAGCTCTACAGAGCTTACAGACAGAGCTCCCATTACTCATACAGAGCTCACAGTACTCATACAGAGCTCCCATTACTCAGACAGAGCTCTACAGAGCTCCCATTACTCATACAGAGCTCACAGTACTCATACATAGCTCCCATTACTCATACAGAGCTCCCAATACTCATACAGAGCTCCCATTACTCAAAGCTCACAGTACTCAGTTAGAGCTCTACAGAGCTCCCATTACTCATACAGAGCTCATAGTACTCATACAGAGCTCCCATTACTCAGACAGAGCTCTACAGAGCTCACAGACAGAGCTCCCATTACTCATACAGAGCTCACAGTACTCATACAGAGCTCACAGACAGAGCTCACAGTACTCATTCATACCTCCCATTACTCATACAGAGCTCCCAGACAGAGCTCACAGTACTCATCCATAACTCCCATTACTCATACAGAGCTCACAGACAGTGCTCACAGTACTCATTCATACCTCCCATTACTCAGATAGAGCTCACAGTACTCATACAAAGCTCCCATTACTCATACTGAGCTCACAGACAGAGCTCACAGTACTCATTCATACCTCCCATTACTCAGACAGAGCTCACAGACATAGCTCACAGTACTCATACAGAGCTCCCATTACTCATACAGAGCTCACAGACAGAGCTCACAGTACTCATACATAGCTCCCATTACTCATACAGAGCTCACAGACAGAGCTCACAGTACTCATACAGAGCTCCCATCACTCAGACAGAGCTCACAGTACTCATACAGAGCTCCCATTACTCATACACAGCTCACAGTACTCATACAGAGCTCCCATTACTCAGACAGAGCTCACAGACAGAGCTCACAGTACTCATTCATACCTCCTATTACTCAGACATAGCTCACAGTACTCATACAGAGCTCCAATTACTCAGACAGAGCTCCCAGACAGAGCTCACAGTACTCATACAGAGCTCCCATTACTCATACAGAGCTCACAGACAGAGCTCACAGTACTCATTCATACCTCCCATTACTCATACAGAGCTCACAGACAGAGCTCACAGTACTCATACAGAGCTCCCATCACTCAGACAGAGCTCACAGTACTCATACAGAGCTCCCATTACTCATACAGAGCTCACAGACAGAGCTCACATTACTCATTCATACCTCCCATTACTCAGACAGAGCTCCCAGACAGAGCTCACAGTACTCATACAGAGCTCCCATTACTCATTCAGAGCTCCAAGACAGAGCTCACAGTACTTATACAGAGCTCCCATTACTCATACAGAGCTCACAGACAGAGCTCACAGTACTCATTCATACCTCCCATTACTCATACAGAGCTCACAGACAGAGCTCACAGTACTCATACAGAGCTCCCATTACTCAGGCAGAGCTCACAGACAGAGCTCACAGTACTCATTCATACCTCCCATTACTCAGAAAGAGCTCACAGACAGAGCTCACAGTACTCATACATACCTCCCATTACTCATACAGAGCTCACAGACAGAGCTCACAGTACTCATCCATAACTCCCATTACTCAGGCAGAGCTCACAGACAGAGCTCACAGTACTCATTCATACCTCCCATTACTCAGAAAGAGCTCACATACAGAGCTCACAGTACTCATACAGAGCTCACAAACAGAGCTCACAGTACTCATACAGAGCTCCCATTACTCAGACAGAGCTCACAGACAGAGCTCACAGTACTCATTCATACCTCCCATTACTCAGACAGAGCTCACAGACAGAGCTCACAGTACTCATTCATACCTCCCATTACTCATACAGAGCTCAAAGACAGAGCTCACAGTACTCATACATACCTCCCATTACTCATACAGAGCTCACAGACAGAGCTCTACAGAGCTCCCAGACAGAGCTCACAGTACTCATTCATACCTCCCATTACTCATACAGAGCTCCCAGACAGAGCTCACAGTACTCAGACAGAGCTCCCATTACTCAGACAGAACTCCCAGACAGAGCTCACAGTACTCATACAGAGCTCCCATTACTCAGACAGAGCTCACAGACAGAGCTCACAGTACTCATTCAGAGCTCCCATTACTCAGACAGAGCTCACAGTACTCATACAGAGCTCACAGTACTCATACAGAGCTCCCATTACTCATACAGAGCTCACAGTACTCATACAGAGCTCCCATTATTTATACAGAGTTCACAGACAGAGCTCTACAGAGCTCACAGAGAGAGCTCACAGTACTCATACATACCTCCCATTACTTACACAGAGTTCCCATTACTCTTACAGAGTTCCCATTGTTTACATTATTTATTTATTTATTTATAAAATATTTTACCAGGAAAGATACATTGAGATTTCTCTTGTTTTCAAGTATGTCATCGGCCCACAAAACATGGCATTGTTACATTAGGGTACAATAAAATGCAAAAACAACATTAATACACAATATATACAAAATTTAACATAGAACAGGTAGGAAATATATAATCAACCATGACAGGTGCATTCTGTTTTGAGGTATGTAGAGAGGGATCTCTTAAAGGACTTTAGGCTTGGGGAAGATATGAAAGTGTGCGGGAGGTTGTTCCACAATTGCGGCGCTCTGTATGAGAAGGATGATTGGGACGCTTTCTTTTTGTATTGAGGTAGACTAAATAAAGTGCTGGTACTGGATCGGAGGTTATAGGAGGTGGGAACAGCCAGGGAGAGCATTCTGCTCAGGTAAGTTGGGAGTTTCCCAGAAAAGCTCTTAAACACAATGCTGGAAAGATGAAGGGTGCGTCTGGATTCCAGCAACAGCCAGTTTAGTTCTTTTAGCATGTCACAATGGTGGGTCCTGTAATTACATTGTAGCACAAATCAGCAGAACGAGTTATACAATGTATTGAGTTTATTAATGTGGGATTGCTGCAGATGCATATACTACATCCCCATAATCAATGATTGGCATCAGCATTTGCTGTACAATATTTTCCTTTACTGTAAGCCTTAGGCAGGATTTGTTTCTGTACAGGGCATCTAGTTTTGGATAAAGTTTAGATGCAAGTTTTTCTATGTGGAGGCCAAAAGATAGATTTGGGGTCTAACAACATACCCAAGTATTTGAAAGAGTGGACTGCGGTCAGTGTGCCATTTGAATTTATTTTGATGGATAGGTGGGAATTGTGTAATTTGTGTAATTTAGGTACTGTTCCAAAGATCATTGTGACAGTTTTGTCAGTGTTCAGGAAGAGTTTGTTTTTTTGCGATACACTTTTCTACCTCTGTAAACTGGTCTTGGAGCACAGCCTCAAGCTGCGGTAGCTCGGATTTGCTCACATAGATCACTGTGTCGTCTGCATACATGTGTACATTTGATGATTTGCAGACATTAGGCAGAGCTACCATGACTTAAACATAGTTCCCATTACTCTTATAGAGCTCACAGTACTCATACATACCTCCCATTATTTATACAGAGCTCCCATTACTCTTACAGAGCTCACAGTACTCATACATACATACAGGGAGTGCAGAATTATTAGGCAAATGAGTATTTTGACCACATCATCCTCTTTATGCATGTTGTCTTACTCCAAGCTGTATAGGCTTGAAAGCCTACTACCAATTAAGCATATTAGGTGATGTGCATCTATGTAATGAGAAGGGGTGTGGTCTAATGACATCAACACCCTATATCAGGTGTGCATAATTATTAGGCAACTTCCTTTCCTTTGGCAAAATGGGTCAAAAGAAGGACTTGACAGGCTCAGAAAAGTCAAAAATAGTGAGATATCTTGCAGAGGGATGCAGCACTCTTAAAATTGCAAAGCTTCTGAAGCGTGATCATCGAACAATCAAGCGTTTCATTCAAAATAGTCAACAGGGTCGCAAGAAGCGTGTGGAAAAACCAAGGCGCAAAATAACTGCCCATGAACTGAGAAAAGTCAAGCGTGCAGCTGCCACGATGCCACTTGCCACCAGTTTGGCCATATTTCAGAGCTGCAACATCACTGGAGTGCCCAAAAGCACAAGGTGTGCAATACTCAGAGACATGGCCAAGGTAAGAAAGGCTGAAAGACGACCACCACTGAACAAGACACACAAGCTGAAACGTCAAGACTGGGCCAAGAAATATCTCAAGACTGATTTTTCTAAGGTTTTATGGACTGATGAAATGAGAGTGAGTCTTGATGGGCCAGATGGATGGGCCCGTGGCTGGATTGGTAAAGGGCAGAGAGCTCCAGTCCGACTCAGACGCCAGCAAGGTGGAGGTGGAGTACTGGTTTGGGCTGGTATCATCAAAGATGAGCTTGTGGGGCCTTTTCGGGTTGAGGATGGAGTCAAGCTCAACTCCCAGTCCTACTGCCAGTTCCTGGAAGACACCTTCTTCAAGCAGTGGTACAGGAAGAAGTCTGCATC